TTTCCAACCCGAACTGAGTCCCGCCAGAAGCCAAAAACAGGAGGGCCTGCTACCGGTACCTGCTTCCAGGCCCGGCCACGCCACGGGAAAAAGAGCGGTACCAGTAGCCCAGGCCACGGAAAAATACTGCATCTGTGACCGCCAGCCACTTCCCGTTTTTGCGCATTATTGAACCGGTAGGCCATCGAACACATAGTTTACCGTTTTTCTTGCAGTTTCGAACTGGTCTTGGCCCAAGCTTGCAGTGGACTGTTATTTCTGCGAATTCTGAACTGTGCAGCGGTCACTGGCGCAGTTGTCTCTTAAAATAAACTTCTTTCCTCAAATGCAGGAGAGAAAGGGAGAGCAAGTACCCGTTGCCGCATGAACATTAGCCATATCCCATTGTGAATGCCATTATACAAGTTCACATTATATTTGGGCATTGAAGTGTGTTATCAACTTATCACAAATACGCCAATGGCTTTGAAGTTCACATTTGTCAGCTAAGTGCTAGCCAGCGAAGAATCACAAAATCCTTGCATACGTGCTGCTATCATAATCTTTAAGACAACGATGATCAGCTGCAAAGTGGAGAGACAGACAGAGATAACAGAGTGTGTGCCTGCCATGATTGCATTGAGCAATCTGCCAGGTCAAGTTCACGGTTCAAGGACACCTTACCACTCAGACCTCCAGTTCTCGATGAGGAGCAAGGGAAAAAGGACAAGACCGTCCAGCCAGAAGGATACCATGCTATTGCTGGAACTGCCGCCTAAGGCTGCCACTACTGCACCATGGGGAAGGCAGTTCGCTGCAAGGTTGAAGCTGAAAATTGGCACGCAAATGGTCTGGCACTGTGACGATGGTGTCCTTCTCTTTCCGAGGAAGTACAGTCTAAGCAGTCTTATATTATCCCTGCCCTCTTCAGCAAAATCAAGGTTATCCACTGCAGTCGCTTTCACTTCTTTGCAATTCAGTCCCAGGTCAGTTTCATGCGATTTAGAGATGGGAAACTGTTAGAGCCTCTCAATGGAGAAATGAAATTCAAATGCGCCGGGTACCTCCCAGATGGTTTGATGATGGTCCGCAGGTCAAGAGTCCAAAAAATTATGGGGAATGAAGTAGCGAAAGGAACAGTCACGTTGTCAGCGGATCTTCAAGTTGGGGGACGCGCTCAAATTTGTTGGTGACGTTATAATACACCTAATCACGGAATGAGATGCCGGAAGTAATGTATATGCTCTCCCTCCTTTCTTTCTGGAGCTGCATTTCTTGATGGCAGTATACGTTACATAACTTACATTCTATTGAACGACACACAGAGTACTAACAATCTTGAGTAGGCAGTAATGATCTTTCGCTGTTCCCTTCAATGCTACATGCATCTGGCTTGCATTTATCATTTTAAAGTCACCTCGAATAGTGGTTGTAACTGGTTTGCATTTTAAGCTGCCTCGCATAGCTCCCGTAATTGTGGTTGCGAGTACCATGAAATCGCGCTAACGAAAATTCTGGACTGAACAAGACATGCTACTTGTGCGGGATATCGCACCCTGCCTCTGACCAACAAACTAACTTCAGTTAGCGATGAACCGTGACCCAGCATTTCAAGCGAGGTCGGATAGATTCCCAGCAGTCTCACAGGCTTCCATATGCCAAAAACTTCCTTGAGCTGTGATCGATCACTGCAACTGGAATGAATTTGGAAGTCTTCAGGCAGTGCTAAACTCAAGAACTGGCACCCATACGCCAACAACTTCCTTGAGCTGTGACCGATCACTGCAACTGGAATGAATTTGGAAGTCTTCAGGCAGTGCTAAACTGAAGAACTGGCACCCATTGGCTTGTTTTATACACCCCCAGGTAACACTGGCCCTCGGGTAATGCCCTTGCTGGCCCTCAGGTAATGTCGTGGGCCCTCAGGTACTGTCATCGGCCCTCAGGTAACATCACGGCTGTCAGGTAACGTCCTGGGCCCTCAGGTTCTGTCATTGTGGGCCCTCAGGTATGTCGTGTGCCCTAAGGTATGACTGTGCACCCTCAAAGAATGTTGTAGGGCATCAGATAACGTCATGGGCCCTCAGGCGAACATGGTGGGTCCTCGGGTAACATCCTGAGCCCGGAGGTAGTGCCGTTGTTGGCCCCTCAGGTAACACCGCGGACCCTCAGGTACCGCCTTGTGCCCTCAGGCCATGGGCCCTTAGGTATCGCCTTGCGCCCTCAGGTAATGTGGTGGGCCTTCAGGTAACACAATGGGCCTTCCAGTGGTCAAGGTGAACTCCCCAGATCCGCTTATATGCCTCACATGGATAGAACCGCTCACGGATGAAAAAGCTCACAAGTTGGACACCTACTAATAACTTCGGGGTAGTGTCTGAAGTAGCTTGCCATCAGTCTCCCTATTCTCCAAAGAGGATAGTCAAGGCTAATACGCTCTACGATGAGTACTTTATCAGGATCTGTCTGCGATGCTGCACTAGACTGAGCCACTGACCTCAGCGGTAATAAGAAACTGGTTTGCTTAATCTTCGGATATTGCTCCCTCTTTTCTTGGATGGAGGCTAAAAAAACTACCCTCTCGTTATCCTTGCCCAGCAGACACTAATACTAAACTGGCTGCACGTGGCTGCTAACAAAGGTGAAATACACTCAAAAAAGTTCCTAGTGTGACCAAGCACTGATTCCGAACCATGCTCTAGCAAGTACTGGACAAGCAAACACATCTCCCTTTCCTGTCTTCTTGGTCTGGCCTGCCAGTCACCTGCACATTCCACGCCGTGACCATATCACCTGATTATCGTCTGATTATCATCTAATGATCATCTGATTATCATCTAATGATCATCTGATCATCATCATCATCATCATCATCATCATGGTCGTCGTCGTTGCATAGCATGGACCTGCAGTCAGGGGGGTGCCGAGCACCCTGCCCTTTCTAGCCATATGATCTGTTCGCACATTTGCATCCCCTACATTTCGATGCATCGATTACTCCATTGTTTAACTTAAGAGAGTGCTCATACACCCATAACTGGTCTCTTAAGCATCCTCTTACCCCAAAACCCTTTCCAATTTAGACTCCTCTGACTTCCTCATGATCCCTCAGGATCCTCTTTTCACCCTTCATCCCATCTATTTACAGTGTTGCAGGTGCTGCTGCATAATTGAGGGGCTTGTGCTTCAGTTTGTTTAAAATCTGCCGCATACGGGTCAGATCAGTTTGCTTACCGGGCTTAGGAAGAGTGGCTGGTGAACCGGCCGATGTTGACGTCGATGGTGATGAAGCAGCACCTGAACCTCGACGACCCTTATCCTTTCCCCTGTCAACTGATCCTTCCCTTGCTGGTTTCTCCTTCTCCTCAGATCCCACCTTTGCATCATCCACAATTTTTGCCACAGTTGCCCAGTAGTTTCCACCAGGCTTGGTTTGCATGCTCCATTCCAGCTCTGCTAAGTACAGTTTCTCCTTCTCCCTGAGACAACTCAAAATAACCATTGCAAAAAGAAAAATGAAACACAAAAATAACCATGTATTAAGAGAACACCATGACACTAAGCCGCAATGCAAATGGAAGACAGAAGCTAGACCTGGCAATGCATCTCTCTCTCTCTCTCTCTCTCTCTCTCTCTCTCTCTCTCTCTCTCTCTCTCTCTCTCTCTCTCTCTCTNCTCTCTCTCTCTCTCTCTCTCTCTCTCTCTCTCTCTCTCTCTCTCTCTCTCTCTCTCTCTCTCTCTCTCTCTCTCTCTCTCTCCTTCACTTCCTCTCACTCACATACAGCATTGCATTTGCAGTCCTCCCCTGGTTTCCATAAAGGCATGAGTGTTATCCTGTGTCCAACAAAAGCAAGCCGTGCTAATTACGGTCAATTGGTAATACAGCATTGCATTTGCAGTCCTCCCCTGGTTTCCATAATAAGTACAGTCAATTGGTGATATGCCTCTCCACGGGCGCACCCTCGTTTTGTTGCCCATTGTTTTCAGATAGCAAGTAAACATGCCTTAAACTGTTAAACATGCTTCTGAGTCATGATTAGTGCAAGGAATATGAGTGGGAAGTTGGGAACGATATACAGAAAACCAAGTTGCGAAATCACACAGATGTCCAGGTAGTCGTGTACAAGCAGAGAGCACAAATGCACTGAGATACCATCCAAATAAGAGCAATACAATGAAGTAATGAGCCAATGTTCAAGCCCTCAGGCCACATCAACACAGTATCCAAAATCGCTCCTCTCTGTCTGGTGCCCAGCGCCCAGCCTACACTACCTGACTATCCTACCTACATCAGCATTCTCGCAACAGGCTCACTTCGATTATCGAAGACCAACGTACATGACGTCAACACCATAGCCGACCTCTTCCATGTACCAGGTACGTATCTCGCTTCCCCTCATCAGACTCTGGCCACCCACACTCTACCTCCTTCCTGAAGACCACCGATCGCCCTCTTACTCCCTAGCGCCCTGCAGCCCGGCTATGGCTGCTTGCGCTCCGCTGCCCAGCAGCGCCCCTCTCCACCACACATGCGCCCGCACACGCTCTGGCCTCAGCGCAGCACGCAGCCTCTAACGCAGCAGCGCAGCAGCGTGACCGCATTGCCTGCGTGGGCCAGAATGTCCTTCCCTGGCTGCCCTCCGTCCTATATGGAAGTGGCAGCCTCTGCGTGGGTGCATGTGGCCTAGCTGGAAGCTTCCAGTAGCTTCCGGTTGGGCCCCAGTGCCTGCGCCCGGGCCCAAGGCCCTTTACAGTTGGGCACGGCCCGAGTCTCCTGACTTGGGCCGCTTCTTGCATTTGCACAGGACCCGGGGTAAGTACGTCGACAGTGCTGCATTTGCATACACCTGTGGCCACTTTGTGATGTATTGGCCCTGCATTGTGTGAATGTGCCCAGGCGCAACTGCCAAGGCCTGGGCCAACTGTATGACGCAGCTTAGTGAGGCTCACACGTCCACTCAACGAACTGGCGGGCTGCAACAGCCTGAGTACCCACAAATGAAAATGTCGAATTTTGGCCTCTGATGAATATTCAGGCCCGCCTTCACTTAGGGTGGGCACTCGGCTGGCTGGGGGCTTCTGCCCAGAACATGTGTATGTCTGATAAGAGCCCCGTGAGGACTCGTTCCTCTCATTAGGGTCCTGATCTTTGGTCTGAGTCTGCGCTCAGGGGTCAAAATACATGCTATAGAGCCTAGAATCGACTGAGAAGTGCCTCAGGTTGGTCGGACCGTGGTTCGGAGGCCCAAAGAAGACCCAAGAGGTCGGAAAAGTCAACCCAGGCCGGGGCACAATAAACTGAGAGTCAAGATTTCACCAGAAGTCAACCTCAGCCACAGCCCACAGATCACACACAAACCCAAAGGTGAAGATCTTGTTTCCAGATGTTTCCAGGGCCTACCAAGTGCCAGTAGCCTCAGACCGTGGCTGCTTCTCAGCCGCTGGAGTCTTATCATCTCAGCAGTCAAAGGAGATCAGACCAGGCCATTCAAAACTATGAAAGAGAGCCTGCATTGTGCATGGCAAGTTGCTGCTGGTAGCCATGCCGCCTGTGCGCTGGAGTCTTCTTCACACCACGAAGTAGTAGTAGTGGCAGGCTGGCAGCCATAGCTGTGGGAGAGAGAAGAAGCTGCCTAGCGGTTGAAGGAGGCTTCTGCTCCATAGGCATTGGGTGTGGGAGGACAGAGAGTGAGAGAGAGTGAGAGAGAGTGAGAGAGAGAGAGTGAGAGAGAGAGTGCGAGAGAGAGAGTGAGACTGGGAGAGAGTAAGGTGAGCGTGGGACAAAGTATTGCTTACATGGACGCTTACACTCTGGTGCTATTCAAGGTTGAGGTTGGAGAGTTCATCGCTGCTCAAGATCGCTACATTGTCATTTCCAAGTCTGATTTTGCTGGTGCCGAGTATGTGTCATCAGCTCTGGAGAGAGAGCAGCACGGGGAGAGATATTGGTAGTCTGGAGTGACGAGTTGGAACCATAGAGTGGGTGCTGGTTATGAGCGGGCTTGATCTTCAGGAGGTAGTCAGGAGAGAAAGTGTAGAGCCCGGTGAAGAAGTTGGAGTCTTGGAGAAGATTGGACATTGTAATTTGTAAGCATAAGTGTTACCATTCTCTTCTTTTTCTTCTTCTTTATTCGCATGGTTCACCTTCTTCCTGCGTACTGAGTTTTCTATCACGGTATTCATCAGAGTTCATGCATGAGATTTCTGACGTGGCAAACTTCAGAAGTCAGGCAGGCTCGTTGCAACATGGTTTGATTTGAATTTTTGGTGCAACTCCATAACCAGTGCATGCACTTAACACTTGTCCTTGCGATTCAGAATGCTCTCTCAGTTTTCACCACCCCAAAACTATTGCTACGTCACCGAATCAGTCGCACTGATATGGCTTCCACCCACGTCCTCACCCTTGATACTCACATTGCAGCCATTGCTCCCTGGACCGGGGTTGGATTGCAGTGAAAGGATTTCACGCTGCAGACACCTGAGAGCCCTGCCTCAAAGGTCCCAAGTCCGGAAGGTTCCAAAGTCCCCAGTCCACGTGGGGTAGGTCCGGTAGGCCAGCTGAAGTGTCGTAGGTCGGGAAACATCCGGGAAGTCGACTCGCTGCACAATTAGTCCGATACCCGACAGCAAAGTCCAGAAACGTCCATTCCAGTCCCAAGTCCACAAAATTGCAGCAAGTCCCAGGAAAGTCCCGAAGTTACCGGACCGACAAAATGATTGCAACAGACAGGCCGCAGCTGACCGGTACCGGTCTGAGGCAGGCCAGGCCCAGTCCAATTCCTATATTTCGATGCTACAGTGCAGCAGCGGACACAGTTGTTCATTCGTGAAGTTGTGGAAGTACTGCTGCTGCTTGTGTGACCAATCGACTTGGGCAAGACAACGCTCGAAGAAGAAGGGAGCATTGACGGCGGCCATAGCTAGGGTAGTGATAGGGAAGCAGGGCGGCCATATCCACCAAGGTCTGAGTCTGATCTGAGTGAGTGTATTCAGGGAGCGATCGAAGGCAGGAGAGGGAGAGAGCGAGAGAGGGAGAGAGAGTAAGGCTCAGCGATACAAGCCAGGAGAGCTGTAGGCGGTTAATACCTGGTTGGAGTCTGCGTCTGTGTGAGAGGAAGAGACCACAAGAGACATGAACATCTTCTTTGTATAATAAAGCTGGGTGGGGATCCGGGCCTTCCGGTTGACGGGCGGGGGCCCGGGGGAGGTCCCGGGCGGCCTGGTCGGGCAGGGCACCCAGTTGGGGGCCGGGGCCCCCCAGTGCAATCACCTGTCTGGGGGTCTCGGACCCCCTTTTCGCTGCTGTTGGCCTCCCGCAGGCCTACCGGGTCCGACCGGCCCGAAAAACCGTCCCGTCGGGCCCGGTAGGCCTGCGGGATTTTCAAAATTTTGTGATGGCTCTGTGGCCGTCGATCCAGCATGATCGACGACCACAGAGCCGGTTGATCTAGGCGCCAAACATCCCCTCGTTCAAACCTGGGATCGGCTGGGGTGGTCTGCCACTTGCCCCCCAGCACGATCGAAGTTCCTGCTGCGCCGTCGTCCGTCGCCATCGCCATCGAGAGTCCTGCTGCAGCTGCCACGACAAAGGCCCCGACTGTCCTGCTGCTGTTGCTACGACGAAGGCCCGACTGTCCTGCTGCTGCTGCTACGACGAAGGCCCCGACTGTCCTGCTGCTGCTGCTACAACGAAGGCCCCGACGACGAAGGCGCCCTTCTTCTTCTTCTTCTTCTTCTTCTTCTTGTTGATCATTCGGTAGGTCACGTGAGACACGACAAGCCGTCCACCTACCCCCCCCCCCCTTCT